AAGTTTGGGTTCAGTGCTTTGGTGCAAAGTTGGATTAATTTGAATTGCTCCAGCTATCACCTCACTGCAAATTTGCGCTTGTGCTTTCACCGAGGCACAAACAAGAACAATCATTTTTACTCACTGAATCATTTTTAGCGTTGTAATATAGGTTTGACAAAAATAAACAGATATGATCTGGTATTCAACGTATGAATACAGTTCACTGAAGCACAGATGAAAAATTTACTTAACATTCCACGTGTCCAACAACTGAGAGCCGAGCGAGTTCGATTGTTTCATCTAACGTAGGTACCAGTTCAGTCCCATATTGGAGAATTCAATTGCGATTTGACATAAATCGCTCGATCTCCTCAAGCCCAGCTTTGCAAATCTGAGAGAATGAATAAACATTTATCGAAATTGAAGTAGACATCAATCCAATTTCAAACAAAACATGTGAAAGCTTAGGGAATACACTGACTGAGGTATATTGTACATTTACCTCCTTTTTCAGTGAGATTTTGTGCAGAAAAATGTCGCATTCTAGAGGAAACTGGACGGTTGCTGGTGGGAAATGATCAGTAAACATAACTGAATACCTATATCACGGTGATCACTACGAATGACTCAATTCATATAGTTCTCAATGGAGTATCACTAGCTATGTTTGAAAAACGAGCACCCGAAGTAGATAAAAAATCCTTCTTAAAAACAATCAAACAACCTTCAGCAACTTCTTTGAACTCATTCAATGACTATATTCCAAGAGTTAATGTTAAAACAGCGGCACGTTTAAACTCCTAGAACATCGAATGGACTAGGCCTGGCCACAATCGTCATGTTCGCCCTTTTGGGTAAAATCCCACGAGATTGTAATGTTTAATCAATCATCAATGTACACATGCTCATAAAAAAGTAATTACAGAAAGCAGGTCGAACTTTGGGAATTTGGGATAACGGATAAGCAGGTAATGTGTGCCATATGATCTCCGTAAAAAGTCATTCGTTATTTGTTTTGAATGGAATTATTTTTCTCAAATGTGGAAGCATAGAAATAGCCTCTATGCACTATCTGGCATGAATCATCCATTGCATCTTAGCTGAGTGACGGGATTGCCATTAGACAGATCACAAATCAAAATAGCTACCAGGGTTCGCAGGTGCTTGTTTCGACACTTCTTGAAGTCCAAAGCTTCGTCACCAAAGGGCGGAAGCATTTTATCTGGACATGATTCAGTGTACTGCAGAAAGATCCGATTCCAGAGGAATTTCACTGAATGGTCTTTTCCATTTGCTTCAAGAGCAAGCTGCAAAACAATAAATGTCTTTCTTCCGCTGTTCTAGCGACTTCAGCAGCTCCCTGACCCCGAATAAAGCTGAATACTTTTAATCATAACATACAAAGTAAGCGGCTCTGCGAAAAAATATGATCAATCTGCTCAATGTACTTCTCTATTGTCAGTCGAGATACTTCAGTGCACATGTACAATCAAGGAATAGCCGTGGAACGTATTATCATTGGTCGATTCCAGCAGTTTCCATTACTCGTTAGCATTAGAAAAAGTTATTGAAGTGAGATAACGTACAACTAGTAAAACCAGAACTTTCGGCATTTCTGTCATCTATGGTATTTCTTCTCTTGAATGTGAATGGCATAGGTTATGCAGAAAGAATTGTTTAGTTTGTCATGTTTGTTGGGCGATATTTGTCAGCTTGACCAGTGCTCAGTGAACTGAGCGAAGTAAATTGTTGATACCCAACGGCAACACATATGTGAATTAAATGACTGAGGGGATCGTGTGTTCAGTCAGAGATAAATAAGACGAGGGGAGGTATTTTTGACTCTTATCATTGTTATGAGGATAAAAGAACCCCGCTGCTCACGGTATTTAACGCTTTAGATCAAATTTCGTGATTTTTGCTTACCATCTAGAATTGTTTGGAAGATTAAATGTCTCAAAAGAACAACCGCTTATTTTTTGCCGATTGAGTTCCCTGCACACGAGCAGTTGGGACAGGCTCGGAGTTGACCCACTTTACTCTTCTAATATCAAGACCTTCGTTAAAACAATAACTGAAGTCCAATGAGAGGAAAACTGAAGCGATCGGCAGATAGTTAAAGCTTAATAATTACTCGTTTGTTTGAGTAAAATCGAACGGGCGATCGGTTGGTTCATTCTTTCTGATGTAGGATTAGCACAACAACTTTCAATTTGTTCATGATTAGAAGCCAAAACGTTTCACTGATCGCTTTCTTTCGATAGAGAACATGTTTCGAAAAAAATACTCATTGATGTAGTTCAGCCATACTGAGTGAATTATCGCAATAACACTCCGTCCTGAATTCTGTAAATTCGTTTTAATCTCCACGCATTAAATAAGCATGTGGTGAATCATCAATTGAATGCTTTTGTGTGTACACAGATCGTAAATTTTGTTTGTATCTGAGCAGGATATACACTGAACAGAACAACACGAGTATTGTTTGTTTGTTTACCGTTAAATGAGCCTTTGCTTATCTGTTCAATGGGTGCATTTTTATAGATCAACCGATCAACCTCTTAAATCGGAAATATTTGATTCGGTCTTACGTTATTCGCTCTGTTTGATTGTGAAATTTGATTAATTCGTTGACGACTCATAGGACCAGCCAGCTGGTAATTATTTGGAACCCACTGGAAGAATTAATACGCCCAATTCTTCGGCAAACAATACAGGCTTGGTTACTTTAGGGTCTACACTATCCGGCTGATATCCATCTCTTATTGGAGTTATAATATTCACATTTATCAGAAACCTTTCTTTGTTAGAACCAGTTAACAAAGCCTGCAACGCTCCAGTAAACAAATTGTCCCAATAAACCGATCCACAAGTCCTGTGCTCTTTCCAATAAGTGGCTTTCATATCCAGAGAAATAATTGGAGGTGCGTAATTTCTTGTTCCCTTCGTTACTGATGCTTTCAGCATCTTTTTAGAACAATGTGATTCCAAGATTGCTAACCGTTCTGGGAAATACGCAAAGTATACACTAAAAGAATACACGGATCAGTGAAAAAACTTGTTTCGGGTAATTGAGTCAAAAATTGCAAACCTCAACAAAATTACAATTTGTTTCTACAGTTGGCCAGGTTGTAACTCAAAGATTAGGTCCTGGTTTCAGAAGTCTCCATTTTTTGTACATTTATGTCTGTTTCCTGTAGATCAAATATGTATCATCTAAACGAGAAAATGCTTATCTGCAATATTCCGTAACACTACCCAGCTTGACTAAACGCCGGCGAAAAAAACCGCCGAAAGTGTCGCTGTTTTCACCTTACCGAATCTAACCACAAACGGTACGTGATTCATTCCTCCCACAGTGTTCCACTCTGCAGCCCTTAACCCAGTGAAAATTGCATCCAGACCCCAGTCAAAGCATTTGGAATTGCTTTACTTCCCCAACTAGATCATGACAACCGTCTCCCTCAACAAACCCCTCCCTCTTTCTCCACCCACAGCGTAGTCCTTCATTTTATCTCCTTTGAATTCTACTGTCTAATGAAACTCGGATGGTAAGATTAACCAGAATTGGGTTAAAGAAATTTAAGAGATAACGGTTCCCCAAAGATATCTGATTTTTATGCTCACTAAAGGATGATGTGGCGTACAATGTAGTATATTAGGCACTTGAATAAGCACTAAAAACAAACATGTTTAATAATCTGTGCTTTCTTACATTTCAGTACTTGTTGTGTAATGTTTTACCGGCGTTAGCGACGGCTTCTTTTAACTCCAAACGACGTCATTAAGCGTGTGATTTTTTTCTCATGGCCACAGAACCATCGATTTGGATTCCATAACTGAACTGATATTTCCAGGCGTTAGCGAAACAACTTCATCCATTAGTTCAGATTCGGTACAGTTAGTCACACTTGGGCTCGATATCGTATTGTACGCAAAAAGCCCATGGTTAAATGAGATGCTATTTGCATCGTAGGCATAAGTCATAATTAGTTGGATAGTGTCTGTATGCTTTTATTGTGCTTTGGTCTTTTTGAAGTCTGGCCTGTATTGGCTGACTCACTCGCTTGTTAGAAGCTAAATAATATCAAAGCTGCCAGTCTTGAAATTCGGTTGCTTTTTCCAAATAATGATTAGCCGTAAAAATCCAGTTTGAATTCCATGCATTTAAATTTTAAACGGTGCGATTCATCAAACATGACCGTTTACAACTGATTTCCATTTGGTCACAAAATCATAAATAGAAAAGCCTTTTCATAGACACCTTAAAGTATCCTTGTTAGTTCCTTCAATCACCGGAATAAACTACACAAACTCGGTTTAGCGTAAATTAATGGACATCGACCCACGTAACATGAAACTGGTTGAATAAAGAAGTCAGCAAATAACTGATCCGAAAATTAACTCGGGCAAAACTTCGTAAACTTTAGTGCCGCAGAATTATCAGCATATAGCAAATGTTTTATGTAACCTGGTTCTAGACCCATAACACGTGATTAAATCAAGCCTTATTTCGTATCTCCAGAGAGCACCCACATTTAAATCTTCTACAGCTGTATTTTCGTACCTCGCTACGAGTCTCACAGAGAATCATTCAGTGTTATCAAGTGCCACAAATCGTATATTGTTGAAGTTCGGAATACAATAAGCATAACACCACAATGACTGAGCGGATAGAACTAGCCAAGGTAGGCTCAAAGTGAGAACGATCGATGACGAGAGCGTGCAACGCGAAATTCCCCCATGGATCCCAGTGCATGCGTTGTCACTGACATTGAACTTAGGATACACTGGTCACTCAATATTCATCGTCATTCATTGTCAACTTCAAGTATTTGAGTTGCGCACTGATTGTTTTTTAGTTCGAGGCAGATGGCATGGTTTTTGGTTCAACTGGGTTTTCGAAGTGTCACAGACGTTACAAACCCTTTTGAAAGCCTGTCTGACTAATGAAAGGTTATGTCACTCCCGTTCAGCATTACCATGTTACGAAATATATCCTTTAAAAATGCACTTATTTAACTTGCCTTAGGTGGCGGATAGGTCAGCGGGTTTCCATCAACAGTCACGCTGGGACACAGCAATGGTGACCAAATCAATTCTTGTAATTCAACAAAACTGTGTGGTAGATTCTCCAGGTAATTGTCTCCGATCCACAAACAACGCAAACGTTCCAAATTCCCAATTTCAGCCGGAAGTTCTGAAAGGCGATTATCAAACAACAGCAAGGTTTCTAGTTGATCTAAATATTTGATCTCCTCCGGGAGAGTGTCGATCTGGTTGCTGCACAGATCCAAAAATTCCAACTGTCGCATTTTCAACACGGGCTTGGGGAAATCTGCAAACTAGGGAAACAGATGCAGCCATTTTTAGAGAAGTTGAATAATAATAATATTGAGACTTGCAGTTTTGCTTATCAGCCTGACAGACATATAACTGGGTGAGAGTGATCAATCCAACGGTTGTGAGGGCAAAATTCGTGAAATACAAACACTTTCCTGATTGATCAATTAGTCAATGACCAGTACCGTTTCAAATTCACCGTACGTGGAACTGAAAGCGGTTAGCAAGTGTATTGCCTTATGTAAAACGATTATACTCTGTGCTTCCGTTTGGGTAAAAAAATATTATTCAACGTGACAGACGGTAGTGGTCACGAAAATAAATTGACCATCGCATCAGTCGTTGGATACTGTATCTCAATACCACCGATACCACTACTACTCAACATTTGCGCTGTTGTTTTTTCATAAGTTGTCCTCGACTGACCATAGTTCTCTTCTTAAAATGTTTGCTACTATCACATTGCTAATAAAAATAAAACGACCACAAAAATTTAGCATGATTATTGCTGCCACTGAAAAAGGTACTGTTTCGTGCCATAGTGGAAAGGTGAGGTGGAACTCGGTTCAGACGTAAAACGTTTTATAGTAGTTCGTAACAGTTGACACGGAGTCTGCTCAAAGTTTTCAACTGTGCACAACAAAATCAAAGAATATAACTGAGTTAGCTTTATTCAATAAAGAAAATCATTCGATTTTCGTCTCGTATTCAGGAAACATTGTTGTTGGAATAAGTATAACCAGTTGCAGAATGGATGCCGAAACATTAGTGCGTTCACCCACATTGCTGAAGCACGTATGAGAATCGATGGTCTGATAAAATGAGGTAACCAACAATTACCTACAATATCAGTTGCTGACACAAATGGCTTTTCTGACATTTTTTCTACCTCCATAATATAAAAAACAAGTGATTATTTATGTATATTTGTTGGTGATTTCTACAGACATGATGTAACATTCCTCGTCACACTGGGTCTACAAAATTTAGTACCTTTTCCTACCAGACTGAATCCACAGCTTGATTTCGTTTTCACAAACAGACCACAATTTTTTAAAGTCCAGAAACGCGCTCCCCTGAGCAGTTCAGACCATTGTATCTCAAAAGTATGTCCCACTGTATACAGCAAAACCAACCGATACACATTTTCAAGAAAGCCTTACAAGATAGTGAGTCAAAGAAATTGTTCATCAGAGAACCCAGAAAGGCTAAGATCCATGATTGCCTCCACTAAATTTTCGGTGTTTCCGGATCAAAACCCTTCTGTCCTCTGTGAACATGTTACTGACTACCTTAATTTCTGTATTAACCAGTGTTGTCCACTAGAAACGGTCTTTATCCATAAAGACAGATACTCATCACCGCTACTCAAGCAGTTACGCAGGCGGAAAGAACAAGCCTACAAACAAGGACAAAAAATCCATGGCAAGTGGCTAACAATTTCGATCAAAGCGGAAATAAATCGGTTGAACAAACTGTACATCGACACTATCCTGGGAAACTCTAGTTGTCGTGGCATGTGGAGAGCTATCAACTGATTGTGTGGCAGAAGCCATAAACACAAAAAGGAAACTGCCGATGTTGAAAGACTAAATTCTGAGTTTAGTTCAGTTTCACAGTGCACTGCCCTGCCAGACTTAGTCAGCTCTGTGCCAACATCAACTATCGAACCCACCACAGTCCTGAAACAGCTACTGAAAACTAAGTTGAATGAAACATCGGGCCCGGATTAACTATCACCCGTAGTACTCAAGGTATGCGTGGACACACTTTCAGCCCCATTGTCTAAAACATTCAATGACTGTCTGAAAAGCGGAAAAATCCCCGATATTTGGAGACTGGCCAAAATAAC